TATTCCTATATAATCCAGCACTATCAATGTACATCATGTGAGATATTCTGATGTGTTGCTCTGTTGGGGTAGCAATTTTTTTAACTCTCCTTCATCGAAATGTATTATATGTGGAAGGACCCTTGTTTGTTACTATTGCAGTGGAGCTGAAGGTTCCACTGTCGAAGAAACTCCATCCGTCACTCAGTTTTTTGTACAGTGACCATGTGATCATTATAGAACATAGAGGAAGGTTATTCCTTCATCCCGTTTCTCTTTCTGTTTCATTCCCATCATATTAAAGATTTTTTTTTTTTAATGTAGCTTTGATATTGTTGCACCAAAAAAGCTATCAAAGAAATCTGCTCTCTCTTAAAAGGGACTTACTGAAAACGTGCAATGACCTAAACCTCCTTAACAACTCGAATCTCCTCTGTCTTTGCTGGTAAACAACATAAGGGTTGTATTTCCAGGCCAATCTGCGGACCATGTGAACAACTACATATCTGTAATCCAGCTGCACCACTTCTCCTTAGACAATATTCTGATTATTATTTCCTTTTAGCCAGCTCATGTTTATGCTGAGGTCATTGTTCACAAACCATGCTACAAAGTAGTTTGTTAAGCTGGACAACACAGCTCTGTTCTTCCTCACTTCTGCAGATTTCAAGACTCTGCCTTGTGCTGAAAGTCTCGGGTGTATTGAGTGAAGAGAAACAGTGAGAATACAGGCCCCCGGGGGCTTGCTTCTACTACTGACCACCCTGTCTGACACTAAACGTTCCAAAATAAAACTCAGAAACAGAAACGTAGCAAAGATTGCAAAGTAGAAATACTTTGAACAAAACTTTGGATCTTGCAGTCTTTAGGTTGTTAGAGTCAATTCCATATCTTGAATATCTTTCTTTGTCAGAGATGATCATAATTCTTGCTGCTGTTTATACTCTTTTTTTTCTTCCTTCTCAGCGATCATTTTTTCACTCCTAATGATCCTTATGTTGTTGCCTAAAAAGTTGAAACATGATTTGATGAATATGTGCTAAATGCTGCAGAAGGGCTGCATGGAATTAGAAGCAGACATAGGCAGGCCCAGACACCCACCATGGCAGAGAATTTGTTTGGAATTCATGTCTGCAAGGAAAATGTGAAACAGGGTGCCTCAAATCATCAGATTTTTGATAGCCTATTTTCCGCTTCCTTCTTTATTTCTTCAGTCCTTCCACTCATTGCATGTTTTTATGTCTACTCACTGTGTGTTCGTTGTACTTCCCTTCCTTTCAGTTTTAGTGAGATGACAAAAACAAATCGCAAGAAACCTGAGTAATCATTAGTGAAAATGACTGACAATTTGCATGTGTTAAATAAAACATACATTCAATTGACGATTTTCTATTTAAAATGTTTCTAAAGTGCGCCTCAAGGACATCTGGACTGACTTTTTTCCTGTGTGGACACTCCTTGGGTTGCTATCAACATATTGTTCTAATAATGAGCTGTGTTCTGATGGTAAACCCACTGGGATGTTTGTGAGATGACATATCTTGATTTCAGTATCTTGCAGCTCCTGAAAGTCTCAGCCCTGTTTTGCTGTATAGCAGCAAGGTGGGGTTTAGTTTAATGGCAACGAAGGGATAAACACAATACTCACACAAAATCGTATACATTTTGCTACACACGTGTTATATATTTACGCTGGAACAAACCGTTGATTTACAATTTGCAGCCAGCTCCAAACAAGAATAAAAGGCAAGATAAAAATTCCAGATAAACAGAGGAGCAGCTGACCTGTTGGAAAGGTTAAATGCCTTACTTAGAATAGCTGTTTTCAAAATGACATGCGTGTGCGCACAAACACAAATTTGTCGACACTGGAAACATCTCAGGGTATCATGGTCCGCAGCTGTTATTGATATCAAGGCATGCAGGGGGTGTGCACGTTTCATAGCTCGCCGCCAATTCTTTCTGTGTGTGTGTGTGTGTGTGTGTGAGTGTGAGTGTGTGTGTGTGTGTGTCTGTGTGTGTAATTCATAATGAATCCCATTCACAGAGTCATGTGATATGAAGCTGGCATTGTTGACGACGGTGATTGCTCGATTGGTCTGTTCCATCGCCAACAAATAAAAGACATTCACTTGTCTCCACACTAGGCAGTTATTGTTCTATGGTGGAGTCTATTGGCACTATTTGTGTTTATTAGCTGCAATTTATTTTCAGCTAATACTTATTCTAAACTAGGGTTGTCAAACTCCAGGCCTCCAGGGTGCCTTGAATATTTTATTCCTGGATCTTCTTCTGGTTCTTCGCCTTGTTTCTGAAATCTTGAATTAAGTGGCTGATTTGCCTTCCGTCGTGTTGTCTAGTTATACAGTTATGCAAATTACCTCATGATTAATTTTCTGTTTTCTAGCTGAGAATCATAGCCACTTATCAGAGTATTCCTTACAATCACTGCATTTACTTAGATGCATAACAACCAAACACAATGAGCAAATCAGAATACTTCACCAAGCAGCAGACATTATTACAAAACAGTAGGATTAAGTAAAACACAAGAAGGCATAATACAATAACTACTTGAATTTAGAATATCTAGTTAAGCATACAAATATCATTGTCCTTGTTAGGTAACATTTCATATTGTTTATTTTACTTTTCAGTGACACCAGCGTTATATAGCTCGTTTAAGTATTCGCTGATTAGTGAATTAGCATTTAACCAAAGTCGAAATCATTAATATTTCTTATTTTACTTGTATTTATTTTGTGCTTGCCTTCCTCAAGACACTGAAGTTGGTGTTTATTGTCAATAATGTCTTCCAAAGCACACAATTACCCAGTCATTTTAAAACATTTCCTCAAGGTTGGCCAATGCTGGACATTATCGCCTCCTCCACCGTGCTTAGCAAATTTTCTGGGAAAAACCCTGTATATTTATGATGATTACAAAACAACATATTATTCAAGCATCTCAGATGGACTTCATCTAGTATTATGGGGAACCATTTGCTTGCTTCCTTTGGTTTGGCTGTTACTGTTATTATTGTCATTGTAATTTTAATAGCATTTTTCTATTAAAAATCCTACCATCACGAGTAAAACTGTCTGCAAACGGACTGCAGAGGGACTGTGGAACCTTCCTGTACAGCAAGATAAATATGGCTGGTATTTTGTTGTCAAGAGAATAACAATAGCTTCAATAACCGTGGCTAATGACGTGTTGAGCTGAGGAGGGAGATGATGCTAAAGCCACTGAGGCAGACACACGATCAATTTGCAGTTGTAGTTGAACATTCTTTCAGCAGGGAGTGTTAAGCTCTGCACTCAAAATAAACCACCAGTTGTGGTGTTCCTAAAAGTACGAGTGTGTGAATATATGTGTGTATTAGAAGGAAACAGCTGTCCTCATAGTGCCACAAATCCATTGATGCTAGAGACTTTAGCTATGAACCAGGCTTTAAGGGAAAGTGCTTTTATCATGTTCCATGAATGACTGGAGTGGAAGGAATGCTCTTGATTTGTTAGATTAAAAGTTAATAAAATTATATCATTTTTTCTTATAATGTATAATGAATTAATAAAAGACCATTTCAGTCTTTATTTTGGTTAACGCCCAGTCCCCCTGAAAAAAAAAATAAATAAATAAAGTCAAATAAATTAGACTGCCATTTAAGCTTAATTTATTTTAACACAAACCCAAATAATAGATAGACTTATTATATAAAAACTGATTTAAATTTAGACAAAGAAAATGTCAGCCTGCTGAGAGGTATTCACTTAAAATTGGTTGGGTCTTCATTTGCGTAAAATACTGCATCAACACAGCATGGCATGGAGGCAGTCAGCCTGTGGATGTGTTAGCGTCTTCTATTGGTACTTTTAGCTGTGTTGGAAGGTGATCTCCATCAAGCTTGCCAGCAGAAGGAAATGCTCTAAAATTCCCATCATGAGACCTTGATTTCCAAGCTGTACTTTTATTATTAAAAAAATAAACAGTGCAAATCAAGGAATGCAACAGTTGTTGCCCATGTCTTGGATACATCCTTGTGTTGCAGGTGTTGAAGTACTGACTCCAGCTGCAGCCCATGCCTTGTTGACCTCTACTAGACTCTTGAATAGGTTTTGGTTCACAGTCCTCTCCAGGCTGTGGTTATCCCTGTTGCTCACAACATTTCCTACAGCACTTTATTCCCTGCAGTATGCTTTTCCCTAGTGCGCTTAAATACACTTTGGCGCTGATCTTCTTCTTGTGGGAAATGTAAGGGACTGTTTAATGAAAAACTGTTCAGCTGTTGTCAGCCAGAGCAAAGTGAAACCAGTCAAATTCCTTTTCTGTGTGTATAAGCCTGGTGAATAAATCTGATTCTGATTTATTGGTCACAACATTGCCAGGAAAGAACAATTGTATGATAAAAATGTTTTTATTGGTGTTACGTAATATTATAACTGATAAATTTAGCATTTGCAAATGTGTAGAATAAAATAAAAGAAATATATTGCTTTGGGTGTAATGAATATATGCACATATAATGCAAATACTGAAATAAAAAAAAAATAATTGCGTTCTAAATGATTAAGATCCATCTATCTAGAACACCGTGTCCATCACACAGGACCAACAACCATGCAGAGGAATTTGGAGAAACCAACAAGCCTGCAGAAAAACCCCAGGCTAAGATTCGAACCCTGACTGTCTCACTGCAAAACAACAGTGTTACCAACTGCAGCTGTACCACTGTGCAGCATGAAGATAAAACAAGATCGATTTGTAAAAATGACTTTGAGTGTCTTGATGATTTTTTAAGCTTAAATGCAAGAAAAACTGAAGTCTATTTCTGAATTTTTTTTAACATTCTTCCAAAACAGCAGTCTTGTTTTATTTCATTCTCACCTACCCTTTCGACAGACGCCAATATCATTGCATATTCCACGTTTTCTTAATGTTGTGCAGCATTACCAGATAAGCTGCCTTTTAGCACATAAACCAGAAACAGCTAACCTGCTCTCTCATGGTCTGTTCTGCAGATATCCGGGAGACAGCATTCGTCTATGCCATCACAGCGGCAGGGGTGACACACGCGGTGACCCAAGCCTGCAGCATGGGAGAACTCCTTCAATGTGGATGTGAAGCGACCAGAAACAAAGCTCCTCCAAGGCCGCCTTCATCTTCCTCATCTGGGGACGGGGTTAAATGGGAGTGGGGCGGTTGCGGCGATGATGTCGAGTTTGGTTATGAAATGTCCAAAAAGTTTATGGATGCCAAGAGGAGGAGAGGGAAAAGTGATATCAGGACACTCATTAACCTTCACAACAACGAGGCTGGGAGGCTGGTAAGAAACACGCTGATAAGTTTCTCTTTTTTTCGCTTAATTATTAGTGTGGCGTGCTTTGTAACCGCTACTGTGTTTAACGCTGATCACATGTTTCAAAGACGTTGCCTGTTCTTTGGATTCCATCCTTCATTCCTCAAACATGCAAAAGAGAAAGACAGCCCGTAGCTGTATTTGTGGAGTATCGTAAGCTGATATTTTTACAAGAATCAGATTTCTGAAACAAAAAAAGAAGAGCGTGCCATATATTTTGCATTTAAGCCTTCGAGGCAAACAGCTTTTTACCATTTTCATAGTCACTGAAGGAGATTTAACTTCATTTCACAAGTAATTAACTATCGCTATGGTAGTTTTTTTTTTTTTTTTTTTTTTAATGCAGTTCTGTCTTCTTGTGAAAAAATGTTGCACAAGAGCCACATTCAGCTAAGTTAATTTCAAAGGAAAGTACAGAGGACCGGAGGAGACAAAGGTTTTTGGGATGTGGTCCAATTAAAGCATTAGTGACAAACCATTTTGAGCATTAAAAAAAGGCACACTAATTCCCAGAGGCTGAGAAACAAGCATGCTGCGATGCGTTCACATTTCTGTTTGTGTGCATGCATGCATGCACCTTTACCCCTTTAGTTAGTGTGTGAGTATATGCCTAAACGGACAGGTGTGCATGTGTGTGTGTGTATGTGTGGCTCCATGTGTGCATCCATGCATGCGTGTGCGTAAGCGTGCGTGTGTGTGTGCGTGTGTGTGTGTGTGTGTGTGTGTGTGCGTGTGTGTGTGTGTGTGATGGGTTAATTATGTGCAGTATAAGTGAATGATCTGTTGTCAAGGCTTGTTAGATGTAGGAAGGCCAGAGGCAACATGGATGGGAAGGGGGTGGGGAAAATTCCTTTGGAATAGCGTCTGCTTTTATCTTACCTATCTATCAGTTAGTGTTTGTGTGTGCTAGTGTGTGTGTGTGTGTTTGCGTGATCTGATGGCTTTGTGTGTGATATATTATGTCAGCACAATAATAAATTTTAAATTCCTTAGTGGATTTGTCATTTGTCTGAAGCAAGCGTACCTCCATTTGAGGTGCAAGTTATTTATTTTTTTATGAAGTTTTTCTCTCTTGAGGGTTTTTTTGTTTTTTTTTTTTTTTTTTTCACCTGGCTCCCGTCCCTCACTTCTCTTTTCACACCTTTTCCCACTAGGCCGTGAAACTCCACATGCGGACTGAATGCAAGTGCCACGGACTGTCAGGCTCATGCACCTTGCGCACGTGCTGGAAAAAGATGCCTCATTTCCGTGAAGTGGGCGACCGCCTGCTGGAGCGCTTCAACGGTGCTTCCAAGGTGATGGGCGGCAACGATGGGAAGACCCTGATACCCGTCGGCCAGAACATAAAGCCGCCGGACAAGCAGGATCTGATATACTCTGACGAGTCTCCAGACTTTTGCCTTGCAAATCGGAAAACGGGCTCGCTGGGAACAAGGGGGCGCATGTGCAACAGCACGGCCATGGACATCAGCGGCTGTGACTTGCTGTGCTGCGAGCGAGGCTACAGGGAGGAGACAGTGGTGTTTGAGGAGAACTGCCTGTGCCGCTTCCATTGGTGTTGCGTTGTCCAGTGTAAAAAGTGCATGGTGCGAAAAGAGCTTAGTCTGTGTCACTGATGAACTGAGGTAAAGAGTATTCGTATATTTTAATTATAACCACTTCTGTTACTTTTTAGGTTCTTGCTTTTGTATTGTTGATATGAAAGAAGGAAAAGATGCAGACTTCTATGGTTATCCATTTTATATATATTTTTTTACAGTCAAATAACACACATGACACCTTTGATTTGACATTTAAAACATTGTTGTTGGAGTTCTATGAGTTTTGAACAAATTGAAAACTTTTCAAACTACCTACTATCTTTTTTTGGGGGAGGTGAGGGGGAGTTCCAATTATTTTTTGTCTGTGGACCAAAGAATGTTCTCTTCCATTAAATAAAAAGTAGAATACATGGAGGGTCTATTATTGAATAGCTAGGTTTGTTTAATGACTGGTTCACATGGTGAGATTTTCAAATCTCAGAGACTCCTCTTAGGTAACAACAGGTTTGGACCTACATTGTGTGGCGACACACAGACTTCACTCACAAACATTCAGATGTCAGATGGAAAATCCGTCAAAACGTGAAACATGGCTGACTGGGAAGAACCAATGGCAGTAGTTTATGGATTACATTTAACAGAGAACAAAAACAAAAAAAACAATGGAACAGGACATGTCCAACTTCCGCCTGTCTTGCTGGTGTACTGTGGCAGCTTCGTCTTCTGCATTCTGAATTCTCCTCCGTGTTTCTGTCAGCTTGCGTTCTGATTGGCTACATGTCACATTCAACAGGCTGTTTATCCAGGGGGAACTCCCTACATCACAAGTTAGAATACTGGGCCAAGACAACCCAACATGTTGAACATCCCTGATTTGAGGTCAATGCCATTCTAAGCAGTTTAGATCACTCTTAACACACCACACATTGCAGAAATATCTCATAATTTTATCTTCAGAGCCACCACAATATCCTGAGTCTTTAAGATTGTCAAAAGGTGGAAGATCAGGGCAAACATTTGCATTAATATCTTGCTGTGTGAACCAGGCTCAAATCCTTTCCCTCCACAACATTTATAACAAATCTCAGTGTACGTAGCTGTTGAACCAAAGAGGTGTCTGGATCAGTAAAATGATTTCTCTGATTTATTCAATGCAAAATGGCAAAGAACCACACGAGTTATGATATAAACTTGCAAGGTTGTAGAGAGTCTGTTTTGTACTGTTATTTAAATTTCTTCATAGACGTTGTGGTCTATTTTCAATATGCTGTAGGGTAATAAAAACATAAAGTATTATGGATATTAATGTCGACATTCACTTACTATGTTTATATTGATAAATGTGTTGATAGAATTACTGGTATTTAGCATTGTAGTCATTTTTTGTCTTCTATAAATCACAAGTAACAAGAAAAACTCACATTTGACACTTGGAAACTACATTTATCAGATTTTTTTTTTATGTTTAGATTATGTATTTTTCTCTTTAAGTATTTGCAGTGCAAAAGTATTCACACCCCTTGAAGTTTTACACTTTTGATAATTTTAAAAATTGATTTCATGTATTTTGGCAGAGATTTTATGTGATAAACCAACACATATTTGCACATATTTGGAACAATGGTACGAAGATTATGCATTTTCAATTTTTTTACAAATACAATTGCTATTTGTGTGATGTGTATTTCTATTTACCTTCCTTTACTCTGATACCTCTAAATAAAGTTAAATTCCATCAATTGCCTTTAGAGGTTTCCTAATTATTAAATAGTTAAATGTTATTTTAGTATAAAGATGGTCTTTATGTGAAGACCTTGAAGGTTTGTGAGAGAAAAGTCTATTAGTTGTTCACTCCACAAATTTGGCTTATGTGTGTGTTTGAATGGTCTAATTAAAGTCCACACCTAAATCTAATTCAGAATCTCTGACAAAATTTTTGCTGTTAACAGTTTCCAATCTGACTGAGATTGAGCTATTACAAAAAATAAGCAAAAATCTCAGTTCCAAATGTGCGCAGTTATAGATATACCTCAAAACCAAGATGATTTAAGCTGTAAATACAGTGATAAGTGGTTCTTAAATGTATGACATTTTTTTCAGATTTTAATATGTTTTATTTTCCGTCCTTTGTCAACTCTTCCACTTTAAGTGTGTTTGTGTTGGTCTGTTCCATAAAATCCCCCAAAACGCATTTTGGACTCTGTGGCTATAACACAACAAAATGTGAAGAAATTCAAGAAACATGAGACAAGGACAATTTTCTTTTACCTACAGCAAGAGTTTCTTCAAAAGACAATGGAGAGAACAATCGATTGCCATCTAAACATTTAAAAACATCTATATCCGTACATGTGGCAGGATTTGTGTGTTGGGGTTAATCAAATGGTCTAACCAAGACTGACTTTCAGCATCTTTTGTTTTTTTAAGGCTTTATGGACTAGAAAAGTAACGTTTTTGATATGTTTCTCCTGCAAGGACTGATCAACCTCAAGCAAACCAAACAAGTGTTAGGTGGTGTAGGATTCAGGATCACAACAGAAATTTGTATAATTTTTCTGCGCATTTCGGCCGGGAAGCAAGTGGAAAATCTTCTCGCCTACAACTCTCTCAGAAACATTTTGAATAAAGAAAATCTCTCAGACTTACAACTCATTACATTTATAAAAAAAAACATGTAAAGTTGGTGGTTTCCTCAGAAGTAAAAGCGAAGCCCCTATTTTCTATATCTTGTGGCATCGAGAAATCATTTCTGATGGTTATTTTACATTTGATTTACAGAGCTATTAAAATAATGCACTTTGGTTGTTAGCTGTTTTTTGAGACTGTGCATAATGTATGTGTGTCTGTATGCTTGTGTGTGAGAATCTGTACTAAAAAAACCTACCCACGACTATAAAAGTTGGCCAGTTATGAGCATAATCTTCTGTGTAGATAAAGAATGTGCTAGTCACTAAAACACACCTCCCATACGTAACAGGACACGTTTAATCGCTGATTGTTTCGTTAGAAGACTGTTTCTCATAAACCTACTATGTCATGTTATTTAGACCTTCATGGTCTATTACGTACACAATGTACACAATTAAATGTATAATGAACCCATTGTTTCAGCTTGTTTTATAAAGGGTTTCTAAAGTTGGTGTGAATGTTTCATATTATTTTGCCATTAATTAGTCAGTGTCTTCTGTGTTTTCTTCTCATTGGTTTGTATTATGACTCATATTTGAATGATGGTTTGAAGTTATATTGTTAGAATCACAAAGAACCATTTTGGAGGGCCAAAAACGAACAGCTTTGTTACAAACGATTGATTATCCTGCTATTAAAGTCTATTTTGTCAATTAACTGTCAATGTCAGTTTAATTCAAGATTACCAGTAGTGTTTATTTACAAGACTAACCACTGACTATGATAATGGTTTTAAAATAAACCCTGCTACTTTTATGTAGTGTGTAAATTGGGTTGATGACACAAGGCACCAAGGATAAACATTTATATGCAATGCTAAACAACAGACAGCAAAGTTTGGGTATACATCCTGTATTAGTACACAATGCGATAGACAAATTGTGTGCATCGCTCGCTGGGGTGGAGGGTGGTGCTTACATCACCAGTGGTCGCTAGTTAAAAAGCGGGGTACACCCTGAACTGGTTTCCAGTCCTTCATTGGGCAACTTATTCATGGTATAACAACACCCACACATCCTCACACACACAAGGACAACTTAAAGAGATCAATTATTCCAACAGCCATGTTTCTGGACTTTGGGAGGAAACAAGACTACTTGCAGAAAGGTGCAAGGCTGGGATTTGAACCTGTGACCTTCTCACTGCAAGACAAAAATGCTACCAATTGCTCCTTTGTGCAGTGGATCCCTTAACCAGTTTTTGTCTAACATTTAAGCAGCTTAACTTTTTCTTTTTTTTTTTTTTTAGATCTATTAGAATAATCCAAATAATACAAGGAAAAAGTAGGAAACTAGCAAGCCTAAGAACACGATCTCATCAGTGAAGTTTGGAGATGGAAGCATCTCGTTGAACCCTGAATTTCTAAACAGTTGCTGAGTTTATAAACGTGGTCATAATCATAGCATTTTATGACCAATGTGCTATAATTAACTTTTTTTCTTTCTCCAAAAAGACATGTGAGAATCCAATGTCACCAAAACTCAATCTGCTCAGCTAGAAAGTGGTAAAGAAAGAAACTGCCGATTCTTTTTGGAATAAGTCCAGCATAACAGCATGAGAAGATATGAAATAACCAAGACATGTTCCATAGCTAACACTCTTCTGTATATAAAAAAGATATTTCTGCAGTTATTAAATGTTGTCCATTTTCAGATTTTAAAAACTAGATCTTTACATTCACAGGCCACCCAACAAAATGAGATGTTTTTAAGTGTTTATGCTGCAGAAATGAGAAAAAACACAAGGTCATGGAGGATGGGTGAGGTGGAGGGCAGCAGGCCTGCCTCTGTTTGAGGTGTACAAGTTGACACAAGTTCATATTTTCAAGGAATTTTCTGCTCAATGGTGTGTCACACTTTGGCCAGGGGTTGTGCTTAAGTCATGGCAATGAAGGCCAAAAGAAGAGCAAAATGCCAGGGGGTACTTAGCTTTGACTGGCCTCTCAAACTCCTCTCCTCCGGGCTTCAACCTGCACGAACTTTGAGTGTTGCGTAGTCAAAGCCAGAGAAAATAGACAAGCGAGTGGATAGATTTATTGAAGCGTTGGTATAAATATAGTCGCCTGCCGGCATCTGTGTGCATATGGCTGCCTGTGTGTGTGCGTGTGTGTGTATGTATGTGAGTGTGTGAGTTTAAGTCTGTCGGAGAGTGTGGCCAGGCCATGCTGGGAGTATTTTTCCATGTGGCCCTTTGAGGAATGCACGATCATCCCTAAGAGAGATGAGTTTTTGTCTCCACCTATGTTGACTGTTAAGTGCTTGCATAAAAACACTGGCTCACACAAAGCATTAATGAAGGGTTGCCACTGTAAATGGGTGTGCAGTATTATGTGGAGACAGTAAATCGGTCAAACAAATAGTGGCTTGTCATTGCTTATCAGCCACAGTGTAGCCTTGGTGGTCTGCTTTTGTTTTCCGTGCGCTTACACCATAAAATGTGTATTTACCTGCTTAAAACAATGGGATGTTTGTAAGAGGGTTTTCATAGAGATTTTAACAAAACAATAAAAACAAACATTTGTCTTTCTTGTGAAATGATGACACGATTAGCATCAATAGGAATAAATTGCCTCATAAATGTTTTATTGGAATGCTTCATGTTTTTAAACCGATATGAAACATCTTTTGGGGTATGTGTCTACCAACTTTTAGTTACGATTTTTCCAATTATTTTCCTAAAAGAAGAGGTCAAAGTCAGTCAGATTGGATAGAGAACATATGGGAACATAAATTTTCAACAAATTCTCAATTGGATTTATATCTGAACTTTGACTGGGCCATTAAAACAGTACGCTGTGCTCGAAACTGTTTCATTAACTGTTGGTTTGTGTTTAGAGTTATGGGGATGCTGGAAGGTGAACTTCTCACATGTTTTCTTCCAGGTTTTTCTTGCTGGGTAATACTGTAAGAGACTATCAACAATGACTTTCGTCAAAGGATAGAATGTTATCCTATCAGCAGAATCCTCCATCTGAAGTGAGGCTGTTTGAAGCTCCTCCCAAGTTACAATTGGCCTATTGGATGATATAGATGATGTCTAGAGGACAAAGCAAAATCACTTTTTTTATTTAGGGGTGTCAGAGTAAAAGGTGCTGCACACTAAGCTGCACACATTTCTTTCTGCAATCACAATTATGTGTTCCTTTGTGTTGATCTGTCAGATAAAATCCCATAGCAAT